ATTCCCCAGCCAGCTATGCTGGCTGGAGAATTCTGGGAGTTAAAATCTGCCCGTCTTAAAGTTGCCAGGGTTGAGAAACTCGGCTCTAGCCCAATGTTCTGCTTGATGGGAGCAATCAAGCAATGGAAATTGCCCCATCACTATTTCTTCATCCTTCTGTGGAAATTCCTCAGACTGCGCTTGGCAGATTTTGTCTGCCTATTCTCTGTCTCTATCATTCTTCCTCCATACCAAATATAATGCAACTTCTGTATTGATCCTATACTGCTACGTAAGTCCCCAATGCTTGTGTAAGTAGCTTCAAGTTATTTAGTCTCAAAATCTACCCCATTTTTCTAGCACATCAGATACTCTGTTTCCCTAATACTTTCGCTGAAACTTCTAATAGATTTACAGCTCTATTAGAGAGTTACCTTGTCTTTGGAACTGGGGGCTGAGCAGGTACTTTAATAAACTGCACTGCAACAGAGATGGGAAGGGAACTCACTTTCTCTTGACAAGCCAGAGGACATGGAACTTGCCAAGTTATTGTTGAAAAACTGAAAGCAGAGAGATAAGTCTTTGTTGTAAATGGGAACCGCAACCAGAAAGTAGAAGACCATGCACTGTCACATATCTGATTTTTATAAATATTCTTACGTAAGAAGAGCCATGTTTTTAACCTAGTAATATTATAAACGAAGACAACTAGGATTCCTGGTGGACATGACAAAGTTTCAGTACTCAGCACAGCAGCATTTCTCCTAACAGGCATTCTGAATGGCAGCAAAAATAAAGGACAGTGATGCAATAGAAAACAGCTCAACTTCTGTGATATGCATCCATCTCAGAATTCAACGAGACTTTATTCCTCCTCGGGATAGAACGCACTTCTGATTGCAACAGGTCAAGCCATTTCGGAATAGTTACGTTTCAATTGGAAAGAAATCAGAGGCGTATATGAAGAGCGATGAGGAATCTTTTCCTAAACGTGGAGGAAACCACTGAGAATGTAAAGAGAAGATCTGAGTCTGCCAAATGCAAATAAGATTTTACATACCTAATCTGCACACCAAGTATCTCTTCTTGTGCAATCCCTTCTATTGCACCCACATCAGCAGTGATAATCTGAATATTCAAGTGGGCAGGAACATCAAGACAGATTCCTGTTAAACTCCCAACACTTGCATTTGTACTGGAAACTGCATTTAAACCTGTTAATGGCAAAAATCTATATGCTGAGAAGTTAACCAACCAGCTGCTCAGCAATTCATCATTTTCTTTCACCGTTAAAAGAGAAAACGTTCAACATCCCCCTTTTAAAAACAAGTTGTTTAGCATAGAGTTTTACAAAGGCAGAATTGTTTAATTCACTTCATTTTCCAAAAAATAATTCAACTTATTTAAAATATCAACATCTGACTATAAATTAATATAGAAATATAATTATCTTTTAAGCCTGTGCTTCTTCCATTAGCTAGACCAGAGTTTCTCAACCTTGCCAATTTTAAGATGTGTGGACTTCAACTCCCAGAATTCCCCCAGCCAACATGGCTGACTCGGGAATTCTGGGAGTTGAAGTCCACACCTCTTAAAGTTGCCAAGGTTGAGTAACCATGAGCTAGACTACGGCTTTCATAATGAAAACTGTAAGAGGATGGTAATATTTTTAAACAAAAGCTAAACACCAGGAATTAACTTGTTGCTATTAAATCTTACTACTCACGGATGATTTCCACCCAATCATCTGGGACATTCTTACGGGCATTGCCTCTTTTTCCGACATGGCTCACTTGCACCAAGGAATTAAGTCTTGCGGCAATGTCCTCTCTAGGAAGAAAGAGCCATGCAATATAAATGGGTTGGTTGCTTTTTTTCCTCCTGATAGCTTATTTCATATTATTTGTAATATAAAAAAAAGACATGCCAGCTTTCAGAAATCAATACGGAAATAAACAGTTAAATTCCCTTTATTTCAGTGTAAGATGAGAGTTTCTACACTGTTTCGAAATTAAGGAGGAGGGAGAGAGAAGAAACCAATTTCATCTCACCTCAACTGTGCGCAGCTGTCTGTAAGATTCACCTCTACAATGCATCCAGAAATGGAACCGAGTCCAAACAAAAGTGGTGTCACATTTCCTGATGAACACAAGTTCTTGCCATCTAAGTAAGAAGACATCTGCTTGAGAATCTTGTTCCCCAAACTCTTATTCCAGTGTATTTAAACAGAAGGACCCTCAACTACTGATTTTTCCTCCCCTCTCAGACATCATACAAGTCAAATCTTTTAGGAAAGGTTTTTAATATTAGACTTTTCAATATTTCGCTGCTGCATCCATTCACAGGAAAGCAAACATATAAGATAATATTAAAGTTTTTGGGTCTTGTTCCTAAGGACAGGAACAATATATTTGCCATAGATAAAATAAGCACAGAATATATTCATAAGTTTAATTTAGCAAAATATAACCCCAGTCGCTTTTACTCCCCCCTCCATACAAACATGAGTAAAGCCCTGAATGAATGTTACAATAAAAAATGGATGTCTGACATCATTTTGTTTCTCTTGCAATTCTATAGTATTTTTTATCAAAAAGCAGTACCAGGCTTCCAAAGTTTTAAAGTGGTAACAGGATCCAAGGAACTCAGGTTTGCTGCTCTAACTGGCTTGCCAACTTGATAACCTGGGTAGCAGACAAAAGATTTTGCCTGAGGCTTCAAATATATGTAGTAAACAATATTGCAGAATAATAGTATCAGTTTTGCTAGACTTAATAATCTCCCAAATGCTATTTAGCAGATTTTTTGCACACCGTCCCTTGGAGCCACAGAACGGGGCCAGTGGTGAAGTAACTTACAGCTCCAACAAGGTTGGAGACAAACGTTGGAGTAGATATGGATCTGCTTTGTTAAGGCTCAAAGGCTCTCACATTCTGTCCTCATTCTGCTAGAACTTGTCCCAAACCAACACATCTCCTCCCTCATTGTCCGCAAGCATGGGGCATTCTTATGAAATATTCTAGAACTGGTCAAGCTGGTACGCACACCACACCCCTTTCCTCCAAGGAGTTGTCAAGAAGAAACTCTTGGCGAGTTGTCAACAGAGAAGGTTTTTTCCCTGGGTGTCAGCGAAACAATCAGGGGTTAGCTACACAGCCCAGCTCCCAAATGCAACCCCTTGCCAAACATATTGCATGAACGAAAAGAAACCGAAGCATCACCCCTGTTGACCATCAATACCCCGTTGGGTGTCTTCTGCACCAAAAAGTCACATCACCTGGATTCCCCGAGAATTCCTCCACGCTTGTAACGTTTGCGCTCACAAATGTGACGGTGAATTTCTGCGTTATCGTCTCTGACAAAGACAAATATTCTTTTGTAAAAGAGAGAGACCACCACTTTTATCCAACTGTTTTTAGAAGCATTGGCTGGCTTAATATACTACAGGCAGCAACGGTTTGTTCTAACCACTGTTTCTTCAACAATCATCACTGGGTTCCTGCATCACACTAAGCCAAAATCAAACATTATGGCAGGGAGCACTATGAATCCAAGCAATATTACCTGAGTTTTGATAACAGCACGTTTTCCATTAAATGCTCTTTTCTGCTTCTCTATTTAAAGACAGACACTCTCAAGCTGAATAGATTTCATCTGTGATTTTTATAAACCACAGGCAAGGATACTTCAGAGCAAATATTAAAAAAAAACCAGCTGTGACAACTGATTCCAAATTACATTGGTAATGTTTCATTTACTGAAAAACAAATATTGTAAAAAAGAAAATTTGGACTAAAAGAAATTTAGTACCTTCTGGACAGATCACCCCATAAAGGACTTTGATCTTCAATCCTTTTATTCTTTTGCCTTCCCATGTGATGATGTAATCTTCAGCAAAGCTCACATTTCTGCATTCTGAACACAGGGAAGCGCTCATATAGGATCTGCGGTTTTTTACTAGAACGTTTCAAAAGACTGATTATAACTATATATAAAAATCTCATTCCACGTATGTTCACCTTTACCTGCACCACTGACCAAGACAGAGCTTTGGTTCTCAGAGGTCACCTCTGCTTTGATGTCATCTGGCAAGGAAAAAAACCCAAGGGGATTAAATCTTCCATTAAACAGAAGATCTAATGTTAATACAGCTGATATTTGCCTTACTTCAGCAAAGGCAACTACTGCATTCAGGCAAGTGCCATCAAAACAATTTGCATGAAAAGACTAACAGCTCCATCATTTGTAGCCGAAACCACGTACCTCCAACACCACTGTTTATCACTATATCTAAGGCAACGCTTCCTGCCTCCTTGTAAGTAGCAACACATTCAGCTTCAAAATTCCGAAGGAAGGAAACGGGGGCATTTCTTGCACACTGTCCAGCTATGAATGACTGGATTACACAAGAAGAATAGGATATCAGGTTTATTTTTGCCTAATCCCCTTTTCCCCACTCCAAAACAACAACAGCTACAACAATTTAATGTAGAGAAAAAGAAACCAGAGGATTGCCATTACCTGTGGAACTGTAAAATAGTCATTAGGAACAGACAGGATAGGATCCCCTTGCCTGTAACCGTTCGATAGTTTTCCTGGACCAGTTTGCAATGGAAGCTTAAAGGAAGAGGCTTGGAATGAAGAACTGCAAATAAAATTTAAAGAACTATTTATACGATGATTAGAGCAGATGGGGGTACTATGATTCCCAGCCTTGCCCCCAAAACAGACTGACACAATACATACTGAGATGTAACCATTTTGCCATCACATTTTGGCAGCACCATCTAAGAACCATGGTTGTCTTCCCCAACTTAAAGCCAGACTCTAGAGCAGTGTTTCTCAACCTCGGCAACTTGAAGACGAGTGGACATGGCTGGCTGGGGAATTCTGGGAGTTGAAGTCCACTCGTCTTCAAGTTGTCAAGGTTGAGAAACACTGGTCTAGATCATTAGTTCAGACTTCACCAATAGCATTGCCTTGGGAAAAAAGCAAACAAGCAGAACACTTCATCTTTTTCTCACACTTACACAGTTGCAGTCCAACACATATGAAGGGCACATTACTGATGCAACTAGCTCTTTCATGCATCACACAAGGTGGAATAATATACAACATGCACTCAGACAAAACACGTGCCCTATAGTAATAGACTTCACACTTATCTAATGCTTATTTTACAGCCCCGTGCACACTAAATCTCTGAGGAGTTTCCATACTTACGTAGAACCATCATAGAAGTACCCAAGAAAAGGTGAATTATTAAGGGAAGACTGCACACATAAGAAGGGGAACCAGTCAGGAGCCAAGCTTCCTGATTTGACGGAACACAGTTGGTCAAAAGGTGGATTGACGTCCCCACCAAACACCCCTTCAAAACACGAGCCCTCAAAAAGCTGCTTCATCTCTGGGGTACAGTCCTTGAAAGAGAAGGAAGAGCTGGCATCAGCCTGATGCCGTTCTAACAAGACTGAGTAGCATCACAGGCAAATCTTAGGGGAACGACTGTCAACTAGCAGAGAGCCTACTTGACCTGCAGAAGATTCAATCTCATCCTCTCCACTTAGAAGAACTGAGCAGGGGGGATAAGAAACACTTTTGCCAGTCAGAGCAGCCGGTGCTAGGCCAGACAAAAAGTTGAACTTGGTCTAAGGAAGCTTCCTCTGTTATTCCTTCATAAAAGCAAGTGGTAAGTGAGACACATGGGAGGAGGCCTCTGGTGCTCCTAATCCAGAAAGCTCACCCCAGCTTTTCCATCAATTAGCTTTTTCATATAATCAATTATTAAATCTTTCAGTTTAAGGAATATCCCAAAGCAGCAACTGCAGTTAAAATAGTGGGTCATTGTTTCAGAAATGTCAGAGCTTTCTGGGGCTACACAAATGAAAGACAGAATTAGTACCAGATCACAACAGCACCGAACATCACATGCTCCTGAGGTAAGATTGCAGGGACAGGAGCCCAAGGGGTGAAACACTTGATTGGGGATCATCGTTGCATTCTCTGTTAAAGAAGAAAAGATGAGGATTGATGGGCTAATCTCAAGAAATGCCTTTTTCTTTCAGTGCCTCCCTTCTCAACAACTGAAGCCTCCTTATGCATGCAAACATGCCTCCCACCTGGAGGCAGTTTGCTGGTTGAATGCACACATTATGCTGAAGACATCTAAAGGTGGACGTGAGTTTCTGGCTGAAGAAGGCTCAGACATTCCCAAACGTCTCATTCATTTTAACTGGAACCATATTCCATAAACCTGCTTTAGCTGTCCAGAGTTCCAATTTGTGAGCTGGGCAGTGATATAGATTGATTATATAAATTCATGTTAAAGACCACTTTTCTTTCACTCATGCAAGACATCATTTCTGAAAGAATGTCATCTGGGGAAGATGTTGCAACAAAAACTGAAATCACCATGACCTCTCCAGATCCCAGCTGTGGTGTGAGGCCCATGAACAAGTTCTCAACATCCACATACAGCTAGAAGGAATCAAATACCTTCTGTGTTTCCAGTCGTGTTTCCTGAAGACGTATTAGCATATATTTCTGCTTGGATTAAAAGGCGGGCCACCACCTTTCCATCTTGACAAGCTGAGACCTGCAAAGTTTGAAGCAAGCACAGTGCCTCCACACAGCAATCGGTGACGTTTGAGACACACAGTTGCAGGTGCCTGGTCAAGGACACTGTCACCCTGGAGACATTCTGAAATACAGAGTATGACAGTTGGCAATTAACAGAGAAAGCTTTACCAATTATGAAATAACTATGAACACCAGGCCAATGTCAAGCCAATGGAAGGATAAAACAGCAATATTTTATGTGGATCTCACTCCTCCATTTACTGCAATGGTCAAGAAAATGCTCAACATTCTGTAAGTGATTGTTAGCTATATATTCATTTACAGGACATTAATTTCCCCTACCGAGGAGCAGGGGGGAACTATCGCAACTCCTAAGGCAATCAACCAAAGGCAAGAATCTAGTTCAAGAATTGCTGGAAGAATCACATGAGGTACTTAAGAAGTTGATTTAAGACCTTTCACTGGCACTGGAAAGAGGAAAATCATTCTTTCTGCTAACCCTTTGATGCACGACTTGCAAGCTCCAGTCATCTGTTCTGTTTCTCCCACTACAATCTGAAAGAGGCAATGATCCTAAAAGAGAGCAGAAAACAATAGATCCGATGTATTATCATCTCTCAAGCATCATTCCTGCTAGGAAGATTCATTTTGCAAAAGAGAAAGTAATTTCCTCCATAGGCTCTCTGGAATTCCAGAGCTCCCTGGGGCCATCCCCCAAATGGTTTTGAAGGATCCTTACCAGTTTCATTGTCTGCTACAGCAAGAGAGAAAATATCCGCCTGACTGTTGGTCAACGAAGCTGTGACAATTGTCCCAGACATGTGGATAAGCGAAGGTTGGAAATCTAAACACACAAATCAGTACCATTTTTTGTATTAGTGTTATCCCTCAGCAAACATAAACCTTTGGGAAACATTTTCTCCCTAAAGATTCTGTTTTACACTCCTCTGAGATTAAAGGTCTTTGTCAATTTCTTCAAGAACTCTTTTAGCTTACAGTTATAACCATCAGTAAAAGTTAAGGAAATATATGGCAGCATAAGAGCACTTTGGAGATTGTGTGTTGTGCAATCACTCTGAGCTGCAAACAATGGAGTTAGGGGAGCTGAACCTGCACAACTGGCTGCATCTCTTTGAAGGCTTTGGATGGGTGCTGTTGTCCCCCAAGGACAGCATGAAGCCAGAAAAACCCAACTGAGGGAAATTAAAAAACAGCACATTTTGAAACTCTCCTAACCACGTCCCCCTAAGAGGCTTACCCAGGACAGCACAAGCTAAACTTGGATAGTGTTTTTTTATTATTATTCCTTTTGGGGCTCAGCATGTTATACCAACTCTGCCCCTCTGGGTAGCTCGGAAAATATTGCGTCGTGCAAACGCAAAACACGGGTTCATTCAGCAACCAGGTCAAACGGATTGTGTCAGCCTGACTATGAGATAAGTCATTTAAAAAGGAAAAAGAAATCTGTATTTTTCACAGCTATGGGGCAGGCAGAACTAAATCACGGAAACGCGATGGCGGCCTAAAGCGGCACCTGTTGGGCTTCTGCCTGCCCCACAGCTCGGGGCTCCCCCTCAATGCTTCCCCACCCACCGTGGTCCCCATCCTGGGCCCCAGCCCTAAACAGTAGCAACAGCCCCCAAAGGAGCCGCCGGAGGGTCATGGCGAGGCTAAGACGGG